AATATTAAATATATTTATATATAATATAAATTATATAAATATATACATGTAAATATTTTCAAAATATATACTGTATGTGTGTGTATTTATTTATACATAATAAATATACACAGTACACACAGATATATTATGTAAATAAAAAGTTTTATTTTAATCGCGATTAATCGCTTGACAGCACTAGAATCTACATAAAGTTTTCAGTTGAGTTCTCAACGGTTCACAGCCCTAATTAACCTGCTTCCTACTTCTGTTCTAGTGTTCTAGTCCTGGTATACAAGACAAATTTTCAGCACTCGTCATCTACCACAGCCTCACTGCAGTCTCAGCACATTTGTCTTCAGCACTCCCCTAAAGTTCAGGTATCATTCTACCTATCATTTTATCAATATGCATCTTCTAAATGCTGTGAATGTACAGTAAGTACATAAGAGATTATAGTGAAAGTTCAGGTTGTGGCAGCTGCGCTTGAGTTTCCCACATATCTTCGTTTCCACTGAAATAAGACGTGATTGTATAGCAGAAAATGCATTTACGGAGACGTGATTGTTGCGTTATGGAATTGCACAAGCATTAAGGAAGTGCCAAACTGTTCATTCCTTTTAAAGCAGGGTTCTGCTCCACAGAACTATTCATTTATTCATCATGTAATAAAGTCAGCCTCTTCTGTGAATGATTTGGCTTTAAAATTGTTCAGCAGAAAAGCAGGCCTCTGACAGCTCCTGCTCTAGTGCCGCGTGCGTTGAGCTCCATGCCAAAACTGGGAGATAACGAGCCCCCTGATGATCATTAGCTTGAATGACTGTATAATGAGCCTGGAAAATATGCAGAGGTCAGAGAGGAAAGCCTCTATTAAAAGCATTATTAAACCACAAGGGTCAAAGTTCAGGATGGTGAGAGTCGAGGAGTTTTCCGAGGTCCGTTTGGAGGAACTCGATGGTCAACTGTCACAAGCTGTGCTCCGATTCACAGTTCCTACACAGGGCTTGCTGTGTACATGCAGAGTACATATCTCTTGAAATTTTACTTTAAAATTATTTCTTACTATTTATTTATTTTCATTTTTTTTGGGAACAACCTGCAACATCATTTTGCAGACCAATTCCCAGAATGCTCAATATCACTTGACTTCCTGCTGCACTTTAATGAATAAAAATAAATAAACGTAATAAATTTACATTTGTATTTAATATAAACATTTAATACTTTAATATAGTTCATAGAAATGTTTATTTAATATATCTAAATAAAGAAATATGTACATTTTCAAATGCCTATTAAATTTTAAAGTGCAACATAAACCGGATCCAAACTCCGAATGCCCACATTGAGCATTTGAAACCACATTTCAGAACATTTGCAAGTTCCTATTTGAATATGAAATAAATATTTATATTAAAATATTAAATATTTATATTAAATAAATACACAGTTTAGTCATTCATAAATTCGTATTTTTATTGATTTATATTTATTTATCTCAAAATATGAAATATAAATTTTATATAATTTAATATAAATAAATTAACATTTTAATTTATTCAAATATGAAATAAATATTAAAATATTAAATAGTTATAGTAAAGAAATGCACATTTTATTCATTAATAAATTCTTATTTTTATTTATTTTTATTCTTCATCTGTCTTTATTAATATTATATTTTTGCATCTTATTTGTTCTAACATTCATTGTTTTTTTTATCTATCATTCATTCTATAGTTAATTTTCCTATCTATCTATCTATTTATCTATCTATCTGTCTGTCTGTCATTGTTGTTCTATAACTATATTTATTTATACTTATTCATATTTGAATATGAAATAAATATTTGTATTAAAATATGAAATATTTATAGTAAATAAGTACACAGTTCAGTTATTCATATATTATTATTTTTTATGTATTAATCTGAACATTTTAAATATATATCTTAAATGTATTTGAATTTTTTCCCCTATTTTATCTATTTTAAAGTTTTTCAAATATGAAATAAATATGAAAATATGAAATATTTATAGTAAACGTTTTAATCATATTTATCTGAAAATAATAAATATGTATATTAAATGCATTAAATATATTCATTATTTATATAAACACATTTTTATATTACAATAATAAATATTTATTCATTCCTCTTTTATTTATGTTTGTTTGTTTGTCACAAAAATGTTTATTTAGATTTTTTTGAAATAATATTTTAGTTAATGCAGATAGATCTTGGTGCTCATGTAGATGATCATGGTTCGATTCCAACGATTCCAGAAAGTTATTTCCAATCCCATTTTCTGTCCTTTGCATATGGCAAAAAGCCAAACAAGGGGGAAAAAAATGCAAGCAAGCATAGAATATGGCCTGTCAAGTCATTTATCCGTCATAAACAAAATGGACAGGGCAGCATTACTTTTTCAATATCATTACAAGACATTTGTTGTAATGGTATTGGATTGAAATGGCATAGATTGATGGTGGGACGCCGCAAAAGGAGAAAGGAATGTTCACTTTAAATGAACTCCTATTCCAGCTAGTCCCCCATCTGCTGTCTGGTGAAGTGAGTTATTTAGCCATCGCAGGACCATCAGGGGTTCAAAGAAAATGATATCGCTCTGTTATGTACCAGCCATCTTCAGAGGGGTTAAAGCATTTCAGCGCTCGGTTCACATCAATTCTCCCGCTTGTTCCAAACAGGCACACACACGTTTCACAGCCGGCCAGGTTCCTCGCGGGAGCCGCGTTTCACAAGTCTCTCTAAGGTCAGGCGTTCTGCGTCTGGGATCCGTGCAACACTGCGGCGTCTCTCTCACTCGGGGATATGGCAGCAAATGCTAAATTAGGACACAGAAAGCCTTCATTCCAATAAAGCCTCGGTCTCCTGAGTCAACGGACAAAAAGATCAGGGTTTGCTGGAGGAGGTGGTAAATTATTCATGGCTTTATACGATTTGCTGGGAGCAATTCTCTCCCTCTCTCTGTTGCACTCCTCTAGTCGTTCTCTCCCTCTTGCTTCTCTAGAAACTTTCCCTCCACCTGCCAGTCAAGACCTCCAGTTTCCCGTCATATGTTTGACAGGATCTGAATATTGTATCTGAATGTTTGGACCAATCAGAAGACCAGATACGAAGACATTCGTCCAGGTAAAATTTGTCAACAATTCCATCTCTTCCATTTTTTATTTTTTTGTCCAAAGATGAACGTTTTAGTTATTTAGATTCTGTTTTTGCCCAGTCATGTAAGGTAGCTCCGCCCATAACAAAATCTCATTGGTCCAAAATCGTGCACCACTGCTGTATATTAAACATCAAATATGCTTTGATTAGCTGTCATTTTTTCACTTTGCATTGCAGTTTCAGTTATTTATTATTTTCATATTATTATTATTTTGGTATTTTCAAACCAAATAATAAGCATTCAAATACAAAATAAAGCATATCAGTTTTGAATGCCTGTCAAATGTATATTTTGCACACCGAGGCTGCATTTATTTGATCAAAAATACAGTAAAAACAGTGATATTGTTAAATATTATTACAATTGAAATTTATTTTATCTTAATTAAATTATTAATGTCATATCATTATAATATATTATATTATAATAATATAATTATAATATAATTAAATGCATTTAAAATGTAGCTGTGTTTTCAGCATCATTACTCCAGTCTTCAGTGTCACATGATCCTTCAGAAATCATTCTAATATGCTGATTTGCTGTTCAAGAAATATTTATTATTAATATCAATGTTGAAAACCATTTTTGTGCAAACTGTAGGGTTTTTAGTGTTTTTTCAGGATACGTAGATGTATAGAAAGAACAGCATTTATTTGAAATAGAATATTTTATAACATTATAAATGTTTTAATGTCACTTTTGGTCAGTTGAATGCATCCTTGCTGAGTAAAAGTATTAACTTCAAAAATTATAATAATAAAAAAATCTTACTGACAACAGACTTAAAAATGGGATATTTTCAGCAAATTTTTTTTTGTATATGTGCTCAAAAACTAGCTGATTTTAAATTTACATTTTAGCACATTTTTATCATTTACAAATTGTAAATTTACTTTAACAATTAAAACTCATAAAATTCAATGATTCTCGTAAAATGTTTAGATTCGTAAAAAAAATTAAAACTACAATGAAGTTAATAAATTGCATTTTAAACAATCCCACACAAACACATAGACCTCCATAGACTTACATTAGAAAAGATCAAAAGCTTGTGAGAAAACTGTGGACGGCAACAGTTGCCATGGTCGGATTGGTCAGTAATGTTTTTAAAGCGGGGCTTAGCGAAGGGTCAATTTACATAAAAAGTCAATCCAGTTCAATCCATGATCAGTTTCAGCCCGAGACAAAGAATCTGAGCAAACAAACAAGAACCTTTGTTGCCTGAGCTGAACGAGGATATCTGAAGATTCTCCTGCAGGCTTTTATCTCCTGTGAAGAAACTTTCGAAAGTCACACTGATCCTGGGCTTTGATCCTGAGCTTTCTGTTCTACAGTATCCTCTTCTCTCTTCTTCTCCACAACCCCATCTCTGTCTCTCTCTCTTTTTTTTTCCTGTTCTCTGGTTTACTCCACAGCATCATAGACACTGTCCCCTCATTCTCTCTCTATCAGACTCCAGCTGTTGAGTCCTCAGCGAACATATTGCACAGGAACATAGAGGATCCATCACTGTCATACGTGTGTAGAGCAATGATTGAGGGACAAACACAAACACTGGAAAAATCATTGCGTAATCATTATTTTTGTCTTGTTTTCCAAGCATAAATATGCTTAAAACACGATACATTTTCTTGGAAACAAAAATAAATGAATGCTTTCATTCAGCAAGGATGCACTAAATTCATCAAAAGTGACAGTAAAAATATTTTTTAATAAGGTTTTGTAGATTTCTATTTGAAATAAATGCTGTTCTTTTGAACTTTCTATACATCAAAGAATCCTGAAAAAAAAAAGTTTTCCACAAAAATATTAGGCAGCTGTTTTCAACATTGATGATAATAAGAAAAATCAGCATATTATCAGTGACACCGAACACCGGAGCAATGCTGAGAATTCAGGTTTGCATCACAGGAATAGGTGCGCTTGGAAACTAATAAGAGAGAAATGTGATTAGGCGTCATGGGCGGAATAGCAGTTTCCACTTCTCTTCCCTCCAGATATGAAGCTAAAAAAGGTCCTGAGGGAATGAAAGAAACGTTAATGTGTGGCAGAAGCACTTTGGGGATATTTTAGCTGGCCTTTGTATATTAATGAGCCTTGTTTATCCCTTGTTCAGTAGGTATAAGATGCATCACTATGACGTTTTCATAGCATATCGTATTTTAGATGAGGATATAGCTACTGGCCACATGTCTTCTTTTGATTAAACAATGACCGATTACTGTGGCCAGTGTCATGTGATAGAAACAGAAACAGGAGCATTTCCTGTCCTCTTAGATACTCTGTCTAATCACGTCTGCTGCTGGGAAGTTACTTCATTTATGAAATATTACCTGAGTGAAATCTTGATATGTCCGGACTCCCAGAGTTCTTTGGGACTGTATTAGTGATTGATCAGGCTGGAGGTAAGACCGATTGGGACATGCGCTCGTTTCCCGCTTTTGTTGTGAGCTCAGCAGAGTTTTTTGGTGCTGGAGTTTGATGACTTTGGGGGCGGCTCAGCTAGTTGGTGCTAATGGTGATGCAAAGACTCATTATGCACTAAAGCATCTGTTCATCGATTCATTCGGCTATTTTTGTTTTTATTTACCACATCAGGTTCTGCATGGAGCAACCTTAACATGAGTCTGAGTGGCAAATTCACAGTATTATTTCACCGTTCACCAATCACCAACAATGCAGTAAACAGGTTTTAAATGCATTAATTATTATTTGTTAAATATAATTTTCAATGTTATGCTTTTAATATTTTAAGATTTAATTTGTATTATTTTGCAATTTCTTATTTTCAGATTTTAAAAAAAAAAGTTTTTTTTTTTGGATGCTTATTTGATTTTTTTATTTATTTACTTTAATATTTATATATATTTTTGTTTGTTTTTTTATGTTCGTAATTGGACTACTTAGTTATTTTTTATTTAATTATTTACTTTGATATTGATTTTAATTTAAATTTTTATAAATGAAAATTTTTGGGATTTTTATGCTTGTAATTTTCCTACTTGTGTTTAATTTTAGTTTACTTTTTAATATACTGTATTTACAAACAGTAACATAATTCATGTATTTTTATTAATTGTTTTATAAAGTAAATTTTCAGTTTATTTTTCAATTTTATTTGAAATTTTCGACTTATTTTGTTTAATTTAATTATTTACTCTTTTAATATTTAATGTTTTATTTTATTTTTATTTAAAAAAAACTGTTTTAAAGTATTTTTATTTGAATACTTATTTTATTTTAATTATTTCAATTTAATTAATTATTTTAATTATTGAATCATTCTTGTCATGGCATCCGTAATGATGGTGAAGAGCGTTATAACGCATATTCAATCGAGCTCACTTTCAGAATTTTAAAATGCCGCATCAGGTAATTGGATTACAGTGGTGGACCGATATTTTCCACTAGTTTGGGAATTGTTGCGTGCAAATTGAATTCAGCAGTAATTTGGTGATTTGCATAACTCCTCTTGACTGTCTTTGCCTGTATCTTTGGTTAAAAGCTTTTTTCCTGTTGGAACCGCATCCTAGTGGCAGGACCATAGCCACCATACACTACATCTCTCTCAGCTATTGGTCAATTTTCAGCTCCAACACAATTAGCCTTGGCGCGCATATGGCCAACAGGGGTTTGAATCGATCTATTGCCATTTCCTGATCCCATTTCTCTACTTTTCTACCTAAAAAGTGGCAAAAAAATGAGTATCGTGTGAATTTCGTAGCCATGCAAATTCATAGTCCTGCTCTCATATGTTCTCATTGTCCATTTTACGCACATTCGGTAAAGATGGATGAGGTTTTCGTTTACCCAGAGGATGTGTTGACACAGAAGGCCTTGCTCTTGATGAACTGAAGAAGCTCCAGGTGGACATCAGCTCTCCACAGAAAGCATGCCTCGCAGCCTCTGGCAGCTTCATAGAGGAAGACTAATCTTTCTTTTGGCAAAGAAAGGTGGCTTCCCGAGGGAACATGAAGTGGATTTTTCCAGGATCTCATTGTTGAAGATGGTTAAGGTACTTGCCAGCCAACAATGCCTCACACGTGACCTTCCTCCTGTAGGGCTTTGGTTCGGAAGCCTGTTTGGAATCCACCGGTCGTCTATAAAGGTGTCTACAGAGGAGCCTGTGATGTTTGACGCACATCAAGCTTCAGGCCATCACTCTCAGCTCTGCCTCCAACGCGACATGAAGATCAGGATAGATTATCACGTACCAAAGAGCAAAAGAGACAGACAGAGCGACGCGGAGAGAGCGTGACCTTATATTCCCAGATCCATCTGTGTCATGTTCAATGTTCTGTGCTCTCCTCACAGCACATCTGATTGTTCTGGATGGTGTTGCTTTGGGTTGATAACCGTCAAGCCCCTGACAGATAGAATCCATCTCTCGTACATCTGTTCTTTTAACGCGTTTAATGAAAAAGGAAAAGTCTGTTCGCCGCCTTTTATCAAAGACAAATTGCTCTCATCCGAGCGTTTCCTGATCAGAATTCCGTGCCAGACTCTGACATTTAATTTGCAGCTAAATTGGGGTGAGAACGGTGTGTGTGAACGGCCCATTCTCTGATCCAGAGGCGTGCGAACAGAGCACTGCTGTTATTCATGCCGGAGAGGACAATGACAGCAGTCAGTCACAATAAAAGCTTTTAAAGGAGACAGAGGACATTGTGTGGAGTCGAAAAAGGTTTTATGGAGTTCAATAAGGATGAGTCATTAAATTATGGACTCTAAAAGCATTTTCTTAATCAGTATCTTCAGCTTGCTTTCTAGTCAAATATCCTTCAAATAAGAATCAGTTATATAAGAAATAACATATTAAAGGAAAAGTTGAAATAAAAAATATTTGTTATTATTTTATTTTATTATATAATTGTATGTGTTAACTGTGGAACACCTATAGAGAAGTGAATGCAAATGCAAATGTAGACTGCCGCTTTTGAGCTTCAAAAAGGATGCAGAAGTA